ACCATCTTAGCACCAACATAACTGGTTTGTTCCACTTTGGAGTAAGCTGTTGGGGAAAGAATCAGTTTTGTGTTGTGTATTTCCTTGACTGATGAAGCCTCCTGGATGGAAGGTGAAACATTTCAGCGAAAAAAATTAAATAAACTGTCCAGATGACCTGACTGAAAATTGGATTGTATCCCTGGATTATTGAGCATGGGCTTTGTTGGTTACTTACCCACTACTTTGTACTTAAAACAACATATCTTAAGTCAGCCAGGTGATGACTCGGAAGTAATGACAAGCGGGGAAGGAGGGAGCCTTGTCTTAAAACAACAGCACCTGCCTATAATTTAATAATAGAATTTCATTTCAAACTTTTCCTCACTTTATTCTTTACAGTTGGACCCTGGCTTAAAACAAATTTGTTCCGTCTACATCGGTCACGTAGGCCTGTAGCAATAAACAATAAATCAATTACTTGTATGAAGAAAGAAAATTATCGACCTCTTTCATTTATTGGCTTTATTGTTTCTTCATGTCTCTCTCTTTCTACTGAAGACACGGCTCAACTCCGGTGCTCTTCACTGACCCCTCCTATTAAAACCAACACAAATACTCATCATCAACGAATAAAGAAACCAGAGCTGTCAGTAGCTTGTCTCATTCTGATGAAGTCAGCACCATGAGCACAGCTGTTAACAGCTGCTGACCTTATTAAACTGTCAGGTGAACGGTTGCCATGGTAACAGCGCAGAGAGAGATTAGAGATGAGAGACAATCTGTTTTAATCTGATTTGGACGAGGACGATGGAGAGATTCTGAGTGTAGAGCGTTCAGGAGGAAATATGTGCAGTGTTCATGCTCCAGTTCAGCAAAACTGTATTTGAATAAATCAGAAAGCAGGTGAAACCAGAACCAACAAAAACCTGTACGGAGAACGGTTGGACATCTGGTTAGGAACCAGAATCCTGTTCCTGCTAAATCGTCTAATTTGGATCACCAGGTGTAGACAATCAGGTATCTTCTGAGTTCACACGGACACACTCTCTCCCAGATGATGTCCTCGTGGATCGGATTGTCTCCAAGCAGGGAGTATACACAAAATCAGACATCGGAGCTGATCAGCTGCTGCAGGCACCTCTGGTGCAGAGCAGACCACCACACTCTTCCTCGTGTCAAGTGGCTGACTCAGCATGTGCGCTCGCGCTCAGTACTTCGGTCCAGAGCGCGTGCACAAACATGCAACGACAAACCTAAAGCCCTCTGATTAATCACTAAATCAGCGATAAATTAGTGATTAATCAGAGAATCTGTTGCAGGGCAGGACCCTAGTGTGAAGCGTCTGTGCGGTCCTGCAGCTGGACACACTCACGCGCACAGAGTAACTCAGAGCACAGGCTTGGATTAACCGATACCGAACCGAACTGGTCTTTTATCACTGATCGATCCCCTCTGAAATCAAAGTAACATCTTTACCTGTCCGCGTCCACGACGCTGGCCCTCTATCCTCCCGTGACCGATGACTGCTCTGCGTCCACACCTCACCACGTCAGTGACGTCATGACGCAAGAATATTGCATTTTTATTATTACGGAGGAAAACGAGTTAAATAGACATTTTCAGATCAATATTTCAGATTTAGAAAGAATATTGTTTATCAGACTACATTTATATGATTTATATTATTTATCAGAGGAATAGAATAGAATAGAA